CGTCGCATGCCAAATCCAGATCGCAGTGACTCTTGGGAGTATATCGGTGATAGTGTGGAGGAGAGCGTGTGCTCAACACCGGAGCCTGTGTATGCAAACGAAGACGCCACCTATGGCAGGGTATTTGAAATGGCCACAAGCAATAAGCCGTCGGCGGCACAAGAGAGCAGAACATACGAAAACACCACGATTAGCAGACCTTCGACGTCGCGAATGCAGCCAAATAATTTTGGACAAATAAAATCTGCCGAGGTAGAAGGCGCGGTTGGTGGTTGTGCGCCAGCGACTGTCGAAATTATACAAGAATTCGATCCACTTTCCAGCCGCAAAGCGGCCACAATCTGCAACTCAGATAAAAGCAATCAGCTCTTGCTCTTGGAGCATTTGCTCGAGGAGGATATATACGGCACAGTTTCAGGAGATCAAGTAAAATCAGATGACGATGTTAGCATGTGCACATCAGAGGAGGATAATCAGACTGCGATTACTGGCACCACAACGGCTATAGTGTCGAAGCAGCCAGCCACAGTCGTGCTGCCTACACCTAGCAACAAGCCACAAACAAATAGCGTCAGAGATTCTCAAATACAGATTGTGCATCAAAACGCACAATTGCTTTCGGAGAGCATGGAAAATATTGTGGACGATGAGGAGGAACGCGTGCGCCCCTACTTAAGCCGAGTCGACGAACAGCCAGCTAGCGGTAGTAATATAGACTTATCACGCAGTGCCGATAATCGCACACAATGGTTCGTACAAGACAACAATAAAGAAAACAATGAGCAGCAAAGGCGTAATCCCTTCAATAAACTAAACATCGTAGGTGATGGTCCACCATCCTATTTGGAGGCTATTGGTGCTGATGGCCGTCCACCAATCACGCCTACCGAACAAAAATCACGTGCGTCGCGTTTCATGAATACAGTCAATGTATTCTCTACGAACGTTAAGCAACGCGTCGGCGCGATCACGCGTAAGAGCAGTTTCAAAATGGCACCCAAATCGGATGTGAAGGTAACTCTACAGATGGTGCCCCGACCCACACTATCGCCATTGCTCGTGCGTTACGAGGGACCGTTGATACGTTTTCCATCCGGTGTTGTGGAAGATATACTTAAAGAGATGCAGAATCGTAAAGCCATTCTGCGCGATCGCCAATTCCAAACATTCCTCGATCAAGAGATGAAGACACCCAAAGAAACCATACCACTTGATTGCATTACGACTTTGCAGTGTGTGAGCAACAGTCGTGTAACCGATAATTCGACACATTTCTATTGCTTTGAAATAACCACAGCAATACCGAAGAATCATTCGAGTTCGGGTAATGTGCAGGCAATGTCGAATCCCAATCTAGTTATGACGAGCACCTCATCAGGCAATTGCAAGCATCAGCGTGTGGCACATCTCTATGGTGTGAGCAAGGAATCAGAGCGGTAAGTAGAAATTATAGCTAAAAGTGAGAGAGATCACTCTCTCAGTGTAATAATAAAAGAGCGGCAACTGAACTGTTTTTAAATTTTTTTAAATCCTCAGCGGCATTTGGATGCAAAAGTTGTTAGAGAGCCTGACCAATACTTTACCACCGAAATATCTCTGCCATTACTATCGCGCCGGCTGGTGTTATCTCAAGAATTCAATAACCTCCGAGTGGAGCGGCACTTGGTTAGTGTTGAAGAAAAATCAAAGACGTTTAATATTCGTGAGTGAAGCTGCTGGAAATCTAGAAAAGATGGATCTACGCAAAGCGCGCTGTATTGGTAAGTAGAGTAAGTGAATATTAAGTTCGTTCTTTCTTATAAACTCCTTCTCCGCAGTGCTCAAAGACAGCGATGAAACAATACGCAACTTACACATCGAGTCTGGTCCGACGCTTATGATAGACTGTCCACCATTTACGGTATATATGACAATGTCGTCACCGCGTGAAACAAAAATTTGGCGTCATATTATCCGCGAAGTGGCACACAACAATGGCTTCTCGCTGATCGATCAACAATTAACTAAATTCAATGTCCCCGTTATTGTGGATAAATGCATCAATTTCGTTTATATACACGGTTCCATGTCGGAAGGTATCTATCGCAAATCCGGCTCCGAAAATTCCATATTAAAGCTATTATCCGCCTTCCGTGCCGATGCCTTCAATGTCGAGATCACACGAAACGAATATAACGAACACGATGTGGCTAACGTCTTGAAGCGTTTTATGCGCGATTTGCCGGAACGTTTAATGGGTAAACTCTCCGAAAGCTTTATGTGTGTGACGGAGCTTACGAAAGCAACGGAAAAGATACAAGCGTACAAAGAACTATTGGCACGCTTGAGTTCGATCGAACGTGAAACACTGAAAAAAATTGTTGGACATTTAGCATTTATTAGCTCACAGAAAACGAAGAACAAGATGAGTACGAAAAATCTGACAATGATTTGGGGTCCAACGCTATTACAAAATCACGTAAGCACTGAAATCGCTTGAGTCTTCTGGAGAAACTTTGTTATAAATCGAAATATATTTGTGTATTTTCCGTCCAGCAGCAGCAAGAAGAAATGGTTTACTCACAGAAGGAGGCTGATGTCTTGACTGATCTTATAACACTATACAAAAATCTATTTCCCTTGTCGCCAGAGGAAATGGTAATTTGTCTTTTTAACTTTAGTTCCACATATCATTAAAAAATCAATTATTTTAGAAAAAAGAGCAAGAAATGCTGATGTGCTTGCAAAAATACTACGCGGCCGCTGAAACGATGGCAGACTCTGTGAAAAAATCGGGCGATTTGAAGATGTGGGTGGTTCTAAATGCCAAACCAGAGATCACAAGCGAGGTAATTATTAGGTTACATATAGAATTGGAAATTGTGGGTATGAAAAAGAAGAGATTCTGTATTTTGAGTTGGCGAATTATCCCTAAAATTTTTTTTGATCAAAAAGAGGGTTAGGTAAGGTTAGGTTACACTGGGCGACTGCCACGCCATACATAGACCTACTGATCTTTAGTCCTCAGATGGATGATCAGTTTCGTTTTCCTTCGGTACCCTGCAATCGTGTATCGTTTTTACTGACTTGACTTACGTACTTCTAGTTCTGGTTCGATAGCCAAACGAATGACACTTTTGGCAATCACTTCAGTATTTCACTACCTGAAATGCTCTTGTGGCCTGGGACATATGCAGCCGCTTTCTGGCAGCCACTAAATCTATTGCTTCCCTGCTTCTAAGGATATTCTCTGACGTAATACAATGTGAGAGTATTGTGTTAAATCCCTACTGACTATCGACGTGTATGTTAATCTGCTTTATGTTGTTTCCTGCGTTGCTAACTTTTATAACCGTAAAGACTTCCGCCTAGAAGATATTGCGCCCACTCCATTAGTCATTTTTAATCCGTCTCTGTAGTTGTTTCTGGTCCAGAGGGGGTGTCATATGGTCTCCTCTCTTTTAATTGGACTTAACAAGTGGGCTTATACCCTTTATAAAGTCTAAAAAATTTTATTACTCAGATCATTTTATTCATACATATCTTCCTCCCGAAAAATATATCTCCTTAAGACTATATTGATCCAAGTTTTAAAAGCTCTTGATCCCTATAATTATTGATAGTGGAAAATATCTAGAGTTTATTAGCCAAGGATGATGTTTCTGGTATCTATGGATACCTAATGTGATGTGAAGTTCGGTTAGGTTTTCCGAATCCTGAGACGGAGAATGCACTGGTATAGCTAAAGACGAGCTCCTTGTTAACGAAAAAAACTCCTGATGTTGGATCTCAAGTATCGGCAATGCGCCTTGAACTCTATAAGCCTGCTTGAGATGACTTAAGGTTGAGTAACTTGATATCGAAAGAGCAGAACAGTCAAGAAAGAAGTATTGAGATGATTTTGTCTCGTTTTCTTCAAAAAACTGCGATACGTAGACAATGACTTGTTAAAAACACTCATATTTAATGCCGACGCCTTAGCGGGCTCGGTAATCCCACTAAACGGGCGGAGTCATCGTATTATTGAACATATGACTTGGACTGAAGCGAATGCATCGGAGGCGTCTAAAGAGTTTTTATTATAAATATTTATTTATTCGAATTCTTTCAACAGGAAAAAGATCAGGTAAATGTCACAATCACACCCACCCGCACCGCCTACGACATCTGCCGCGAATTAGCGCCCAAAATGCAAATGTCAACCCACCAAGTATCACTACACGAAGTAATATTGAACGACTGCTTAGAACGCCCACTACACCATGACACAAAAGTATTCGATGTTGTGCTCAATTGGTCCTACTGGCCCGAGGATGATCGCAAAAACAATTATCTCGTTGTCAAGCCGATCGACACAATACGTGAAGTACAACGTGCCGTTAAAAATCTGGCAACCGTGACACCCGGCAAAGAATTGAAATTCGCCGATAATCGTACAAAGTCCTTCAAATCCTTGCTATGTGAATTGCGCGACGGCAAAATTGTGATATCGAAAAAAGACAAAAATGACAAAACCACCATTGTGCGTGAGATTTTCCTACACAGCACAACGGCATATTTGGGTTTTGATAAGAAACGCGATTTCCCGTGGAGCTGGGCGATCACATTCGTCGAGCGCACGCAAACGCAGATCTTGAGGTTAGTTTTTGGTTATAGCGTGTAAAATTTTGGGTTGTTTAAATTAACAGTTATTTTTATTTAATAAACTATTTTTTTGACAGTTTTTTTAATACAGTTTTTTTTATTACACTTTTTTTTTGAAGATCACGCGATTCACCGTTTATTGGGCATGTGCTAGCGGGCAGTGAGTGGGTCGATCGCACGATTTGGTACTCCAGCATTTGGTATAGTCTGTATGGCGATAATATACTGCCACCGGCGGAAATTATTCTCAAGTAGCCGCAGTGTAATAATATTAAGTAATATTTTTTTTTACTAAATAAGTTAGCAGTTTAGGTTATTTAGGTAGTTTATGCATTTAATCATAGTAAGGTACTCTTAAGTGAAATCAAACGCCATCATTTAGTAACTGCACATCATTTGCGATTTATTGAGCATTTCCATTTCCAATTATTTCATGTCTTCGTCTGTGTGCATTGTAAAATATTTTTTTATTTTAGTTTCTAATATCAAAATGGTTGGTAACATATTGTACTTGCCACATGTTGCAATGTAATAATATTTAAAATTTTTTCGAGAATTTACAATTAATTTTCATGCAATTTCACTACATTTGCATTTACATATGTATATGTATGTATGTATTTGTATATTATTAATTATCAAAGTCAAGGTAGTCATAATGGTTATTAAAAATATTTAAAAAAATTTTTTTTTTAATATTATAAATTTTTTTTCGAAATCAATTATTTTAAAATTATTTGTATGTGAGTGCATTAATACAATAATAATAAATATATATCGTATTTAAAATAAATAAGTATTTTTTATAAATAATGCAAATCGTGTTTCTTATTAAAATTTGACATTTACAAATTTTTTTAATTTTTCAGTTGAAAGTTAGAGTGTTAAAACTTATTTTTAAAAGCGAATTAAGTACAAAGCGCCAACGACACATGTATGTCTATGGTAAACATACTCCATAAATAAGTATGTATTTTTGTATAAAATGAGCTCAGCACTATGAAACAGATTTTTAAAAATTTATATTTATATTACATATTAATAGATATGTATGTAGCGCTACAATTAAAAAATACTACAGGTATGTATGTGTGTTTTTGTATTTGTGTGCGTGTGTGAGTGCGTATTTGTAGACTATAGCAAATCCTTGTCTAAAAGGTACTAGTATGGACGGAGGTGTAGAACGGACGCTTAGCGCTGTGACGACAGCAGAACAGCAACACTGTGTAGGCAAAGGCGAGCAGAAAGCCAATAGTGTTGAGCGCCATCGATAAGATCAGTATGGTTATCCATTCGCCGCGCAGCTCCTTGCAGCTCAAGTCACTGCAAACAAAATATATATAAATTACTCAAACTGAAATTACCATCCTTCCCAACCGCTCCCTTACCGATACTCCACTTTGTAGCTTTGATCGTTGAAATGCTCCGGCACCACTTCTTCATCCAACAGCCCGTTCGCCACTTGTGCCGTACTACTATTCGTCGGCGCCACCAACTCGTCGTCGTTTGCGTTGAAGATGCACGTGCAGGAACCATGCTCCAGCAAAATATTCGTTGAGGCACAGTGTGTGTCGTCGGCGCACAGGCGCGCATAGTGTAGGGCGGCGCAGAAGACTGCCACACAGCATAGCAAGACGGCCAAGAGTGCTAGCAAGTATGAGTCGGCTCGTAAAAATTTGAAACAATTCTCGCGTACTTTGTGACGTTTAATACGCTGATAGCGTACAAGCACAAGTCCAAGAATGCCAGCGAGCAGGAGCTGTGTGGGCGGTAGAGAAAAGTTGTTAAGAACCGTTATACAATTTTAGATTTTTTATAAGGAATAGTAAGCTGGTACAATGAGGATATTTGGATGGAATATTTCAAAACTTTAAGCCAACTTTATGATGACCTGAAATCTGAATGAAACTGAGTTTCTGCGGATTGGTAAAGCACATCATCAGAGTTATTTTCAAGCCGAAGTTCAAGAAGTCTCATGAGACAGAGGCGACCGCAACAAGAGATTGAAAGATTGCTTCAGAAACTCCAGTTAATTTTTTTTTATTTTTTTATTTTGAGATATCTTATAATACATAGAACTTTTTTGTAGATTCAGTTGGACCTCGGATGAGTTTAGATTGGATAGGTGTGACATGCAGTAATTGCTGGGTTCCAATTTAAGGATTAAAGTAAGTCCATAGAACAAGGCTTGTTCCATAAATTCAAAAGATTTCAAACTTGATATGCACTCGGTGTGCGCACTTCGATGACAGAAAGTTTAACTGGGGTCTAAAATAAAGTAGCGGAAGCCTTTAAACATGAAAAGTTTAAAAATAAAAGTGCCACAGATACGGAATTTTGACTTTGGCTCGAAGTTTTAAGAAGTCCAGGCATAAGATAAAATTTTTTAAATGTTAGTATTCTGTATTTCTTGAACAACAAGGAATGGTTTAGCTCATACTGTGGAAGTGAAAGGTTTTTGAAATTCCGATCCAGCACCCATTTAGCATCAAAATATCAATGCCTGCCAAAAAAGCTTATTATTAAAACCTTTCGAAATCGGCTTGGAGGGGCCGCGGATTCCTTCATTCATGAGATAACATATGACATTACACCACGATTCGAGAAATATATACATATGGATGGGCTGTCATTTCATCATCTTTAAAAGTTCATTTCTTGTAGAATGAGAACGGGTCGGTGCACCCCTCTCCAAATGTGTTCTACGACAGGATAGCTGGGCTTCGCGGGATCATGAACAGTGCTGGGCTACCAACACCTAACTTCATATCCATATATGAGTTCATGCGCTGTCGTAAGATCCTATTGGCTCAAGATCGATCGTAAGAGATCCAGTGAGCTCTTAACTTTTCGTAAGCCTATCCTTTCCCTAGTTATGGGGTTCTAAAAGGCCATTGCCATATCAGCCATTGCCCTATCAGCGTCCATGTTGTAAGGCTGAAAATCGTACCGGACGCCAAAAGATGTATGGTAGAAGACGAGAATCACCTCACAATTCCCTCTTACTTGTCCCGCGTTCAAGGCTTAAACACTTGGGAGCTCACACTTTCAGATATCCCACCGAGGGTGAGGATAGGAATTAAACGCCTGAGCAAATTTGAATTTACCACAAGGCTCTTAGCTGACTTACAAGATCGTATACAGCAGTTCTGTTTCTATGGCTTCACAAAGGCTACACTACTATTGTAGTCCAAGTGCGATCTATGAAACATCGATCGAACCTAACGTAACTTTAACTCCATATATGATTTCATTCTTTGTGTATATATACGCTTACAGATAAGAAAGTATAGATAATTTTGTAAGAGATACTACAAAGCACTTTTTATATGCGGAGATAGCATGAAAACCACCACAGTGTTTCCAAGTTCACTTATTACAATTATTAATTTTCTAATTAAATCCAGTTAATTAAAACGCTCTGGGCTTATTCGAAGACAAATAACAAAATACTCACATTTTTTCTACTTTTCAACCATTAAATCTGGCATTTTAGTATATAAATCAAATCAATGCGAATTTACTCACCACTAAACCGCTCCAATATGGATTATATTGTATGGCCGTATTGGGCGCCAAACAGAATATCCAAATTGCTAGGAATGATATTAGTAGACCAACTATTATCTCCAGTATAAGCAACCAGCGGGCAAGATTCGGATATTTAAAACTCATTGGATTCGGATGCTGAGTGGCTGTGTACAAAGAGGGGTCCATTATAGAAAATATATGCTGATAATATATAAACAAATATATTTATGTAAGTGTTTATCTGATGCAAATAAATCCAGTATAAGTGATCTGTTGTGTATGCTGTAAGAGTTTGTCGTCTACTAACCGCACTCACTTGCTTGGGGACCTAATAGACCGACTGACTACAACAAAATCTGGTTATTAACATTACAACTAGATTTGTTAGGGTTAATTACTACGGGATTACGTCTTATTATATATGTCAGAAAAATATTAAACTTGACGTAAGTAGATTATTAAATGATAGTTGTTAGTTATGAAGACCGTTATGGAAATGAAATTAGTATATCATAGTAAAGTGGTCGGGCAATTACAACAAAAGCAAATGGACTTATATATTTAGTTGTTTATGTTAGTTTGAACTCTATTATATAGTAGATTACACTTAATTGTTAGTGAGTCTATTAAGATTCTTGATTTCGTATGTGTGTCAGCATATGGGTGGGAACGGATTTAAACGCTGATGCATAGGTCTTATATAGTGAAGCAATGAGGTGTTAATACGGTATAATTATTGTAAGTTTGACATTTCATAGTTGAAAAAGTTATATAATAATTATAATTATATTTTAAGCTCAGGCCTTGACCGATGCATTTTCATATTGAATATAAATAAGGTACAAAAACGCTACCCAAATTTTAAGTTGGAAATTTTTTTTTATAGATTTCCGGCTTTGAACCGACCATTCTTATGTCGCGTACAAATAACGGCAAATACGGTAAAAATATTTTATGTTCGACATAGCATAACTGGATATTTTATATTCTCTTTTGAATGTTGGGTAAAATTACCGTATTGGCTTGAGATTTGTTATTATTACGTGTTTTCGGCTGCGGGTATTCCATTCATGTGTCGGGTACAAATATAGTACAAAAACGGTACAACTTGTTTAAGCTCGATATACCATAACTGTTATTTTTTATTACCTTCTCAATATAAGTAAAGGCTTTTGGATATGTATATTTATGTTGGGTACAAACACGGTACGAAAACGGTACACATATTTTTAACCGGATATTTACTATTATCGATTTTCGACTTCTAGCCTTCCATTCTTTTGTCAGGTACATATACGGTACAAAAACGGTACAACCAATTTAGCTTGATATTTCATAACTGTGAATATTGTACTAAAAATTTAGTTTAATCTACACATTTGCAATAATCGATATTTATCGATACCTCCCCATCTCTTGTCATAATAAACTTTTGCAATTGCCGAAGTAGGTATATTTATATAATTATACAGCTTAATAATTATAGGTTAACATTAAATGGTGCATTAGTAATAGAAGGATTTATAAACAACAGACTATTAGGATTAATTTTCTAGTAGTAATTAAAGTTAGCAAGTTGTTTTAAAAGTCTTGCGTGTGTTAGCATTAAAAGTATACATATGTACATACCGATAAATTTGCACGCTAAATTGTACTACAAAAAATAAAATAAGTTAAATTAAAGTAAGTACAGTGCGCCGCAAATTAAAAGCCACATGTCAAAAGCTATTTTTCTAAGTGTTAGCATTTAAAATTTTTTTTCTAATTTGTTACTAAGTGTTACTTATAGACAGAACAAGCACCTTGCCACTTACCTGGATATGTTTTATTATTTACAACTAGCATGCGACTGTGCCTTAAACTATTTCTTGTTGGAGTATGTCGTCCGGCAATTTTACTACCTTTTATATTCTGCGGTACTGTGGTGGACATGTAGACGGCCTAAAATCAAAAAAAAAAATGCAGAAATTATAAATGTTCTATAATCAAACTTCTTAAGAATAATTACATTTTAAGTATGAGCTAAAACAATAAACGAAATAAGTGGTAATAAAGATCTAGCCTAAAAATACACTACTTCAGTTATTAAATGAGAACCTAATAACTGAAAAAGTACTCGCAATGTAACCTATTACTACTTGACTTATTTCCATCGTTCTTGGATGAAGTTCAGCAGAAGCATCCCTTCGAAGAAACAATAATTGAAGATAGTGGCGAGAATCAGAAGGAATTCAGAAAAAATTTATATTTGTGATTCATACTCCCTAACCTTTGAATAAAATGGCACAAAATAATTGTGATAAATAAGAAATAGGTGAAAATTGTAATTTCAACTTATTCAGCTATTCTCGTTTGATGTCGGTTAATGTCTTCTGAGTTGTTGAATACTGAGTAAATAAGGCTTTCTGGTATTCATAGGTACCCTTCTATCATCCAACCAACTTAATAAAGATCAAATCTCAAAGGTCATTCGGGAAAGGCTTCTTAATTTCAAATTAATCACCGAAAATATTGACAGTGTTATCAAACTTTTGTCTTTCTCAGACTACAGCGGTAATGATCCCCAATGCCAAAACAGATCAGAGCCAAACTGAGTAGAAAACTTAATTCCATCGCCAGCGATCAGAATTTAGAATTAGTGCAGAGAGGATTTGAGAATTACTGCATTTATAAGTGTGATAAAAATACGGCGCGACTTTTAGCGATAACTCCACTGGATCCTTAAGATATCTATTTCGGGCTGGATGATTATGAGATAGAACGAGGAAGGTATATCCGATCAACTTGTTGAATTTTCAGTGAACAGAGCTCAGTAACTCTACACTTACAAGCCAAAAGTATGATTACACTATTTCGTATGTCTAAATAATCAACTCTGACCGGGGTCATATAATTGCTATTGAATTAAAAGAATTTGTTACTCAATCTTAGTTGCAATTCTTCACCGAATATTAAGCAGGATCGTTTTAGGTTATTGTAACATTCAATTCGTCCAAACCATTATTGCGGAAGTAGAGTAGAGCAGAAATACCCAAATACTCATAAAAAGAAATTTAGTTCTGGCGTTTGACAAGCCAAATTTTATGACGTTTTCGTTGTCAATCTTACGTTTATTATCAAGTATTGGATTAGTTTTCGAAATTATTACGCAACTTGTATTCTCTTATTTTGTTTTCGTTTTGAATAACAAGGGCCTTAAGCTCTATAGATATAGTATATATTCATACTAAATATTTTGGAAAATATTTTTTTTAACATTTTATTATGTATACCATCTCTGCTTTATCTGAGGTCTTAAGTAACTAAATCTTAATTTGAAAAATTATATATTTTATAATTAAAACCATTTCTAAATATTTCCTAGTATATTTACGACTTTAATATTTATTTTATATTAACATAGAAATACAGTGCTGTTATTATTCATATTTAATACTAATTACATATACATATAATATATTTTACAAATCTACAATTCAAGCCTCCGGCGAACTCCGGCATAATGTTGACAATCTCCACCACGAAATTTACACATTTCATGTTGCAATCTCAGCATTGGATATCTACTTCTAGGCGTTTCAACGTAACATTTTGTTATTGCCGGCTCTGAGCGTAACGGCAACTTACCGAAATCTCCAAACTCACTCGTACTTAATTCCAATATTTTATCATGACGCATGAGCTCAGCTACATAAATCTTTATACGAAGCAAACGAAATCGCTCCAGGACGATTGTTATTTGTACGTAAAAATTCACAATAAACGATGCTAGCGAAATTTGTAGTAAAAAGCAGAAAAAAGCGCTTATGTTTTCCATTTTTGTTTAAATTTCGAACTTAGAATTGTTGATGTCTAAAGCGCGGTGCAAATGCTACTACCATTCTTGCGGGAAATGTAAGGACCTTTTATAGTAAGTTTTAAGTTTTAAGTTGTTTACAAAGTGTGTACAAATATATTTTTATATATGGTATATTATGTATGTATGTATATATGTTGACTTGTTTACATTTCTCAACTAGCAATTGTAGTTGTTATCGATTTGCAATTTTATTGTTAGTGCAGAAGACGCAGGTATTTGTGTTGATGTTGTTGGTCTGCAGCTGATCTTCACAGCTGTTAATGAGTTAGATGACCTTGAGTGCTGGTGAAAAATACGCGAAGTGATAACAGCGGTGACACAAAACATCGCACAAAAGAAGTATTGTTGTTTGCGGCAAGAAAAACATGTCAAAACATATGCGTATTTGTTGTTGTAAGAATTTTCATTGATGATAGTTTATGTTTATTATTTCACCATATATCAATATATTTGTTTGTAATTCAAAATAACTCTGTCAAGTCAAAACAACTTTTGGCTGACTGAGAAATTCAAATCGTCGAGGTGAATTATTTTTCGAACCACTCTCGTTCATGCAGGGCAAGATGCCTTACATCTGTCATTAATCATTAATAATCGCTATTTTATGCTTAGACGAATAACATGATTAACCACACCTAGTATTTTCATATATTATATGTCTGTGTAAATATATTTTATAAAATAAGTTAAATATTTCTCTTTTCACTAATAATAATTTAAATGTATATGTTAGAATGCATTATTTTATAACCAAACATATTAAAAATTAATGCTTTTATTCACTTAAAATATAAATAATGTATGAATTCACTGAGCGCCTGTTAAATATATCGCTAAAATAGAGTAGTTTTGTAATTGAGTTAACATATTTGTCACTACCCTAAACACTTAATAATAATAATTTATCGATATTGTGCATAGTACAATTATTTACTTAGATATACATATATATATATAATATGTGTATATCATAGTTACTTAGATTTACATTTGAGTATTTTTCAAACTTTAAATAAAATAGTTTTTTGAAGTACACATTTCATCATTAAATAGTAGACACTATAAAAAGTTGGCAAATCGAACAAACAACTAGTATAAATCAAATATAAGCCATCATAAAGTAAATTAAATTATTAAATTATGTCACAGCATACTCACTTATATTGAGTTCATCTGCATAACTATGTTGTTGCTTTCGCAAGTAAATAACTTAACGAATGAGTTAAACTCAAATATAGTGAGCAGAATTGTGTCGAAGCGAAGACGGTTGATAACACTAGATATACAATTTACTAGTTAAGCTACATATATTTGAGAACTAAATATTTTTTTAAATATTTACATCTTTAAATTATGATCTATGAAAAAGTGACGAGGTAAAGGCTTAAGATCCGCAAAAAGTGCACAAAATTAGTCTAACTCTCTTATGAGATCAAAAATTTAGGTATAGATGAATTTTTGTGGGATATTCCGAAAACCATGTTCATAATATTTTAAATTTGAGAAAGTATACACTGACTAAGTTTTGGCGCATATATGAATAAATATGAATTTTACTCACTTGTGATGGCTGCGTAGTGTCAATATCATTTATCGGTATTTGCTTGTACGCTGCATGTGAGGATGACAACGATACCTTGGCCGCATCGGATGGTGATGATGGCGATGGTGACGGTGTATTCGATTGCCTTGAGCTAGTTGAGAACGCAGCTGAGTTGGGTGTTGTAGACACGGCGCCATCAGTTTGTGTGGGCGGAGTTGTGGCAATCATTCTCGACGGCACCGCAACTGCTTCCACTATTATAATTAAATGTCGATAAAGAGTTGAACATCAAATTTTATGGCAAACATTAACTCACCTGGTGGCTTCGGCGGCAATTCGGGTGGCGTCTCGGCGTTATTGCGGAATATGGCGCTATTCTCCGGTATATTCTGATACTTGGGTTGGCTCTTTGGCGGCGGTGTGGGCGCTGTAGTCACGATTTGTACTTTTGGATATTGATTGTCGATGAGTAGGCGTGGCGCGATGGCTCTTTGCTGCAGCGGCCGAGATTCGTTAGCACTGTATGTGTTGTTGTGTGGATGATCTTGCGCGTAACCGTTTAAGCCGAAAAATTTCGATTTAGCATCATTTAATGCGGCTTTCACCGCAGCTATACTCTGACTGGCTTCGTATAGTTCCGATTGCGAATGTTGACTAAGCGGTCTCTGTGCCGGACTTGCATTCCTAGGTGCTGCCACCGTAGACGCCATCGCTGACGTTGTCGTCGTTGACATGGCTGCTGGCGTTGCTGTTGTAAACGCTTTGATTGGTGCTGAAGCTAGAGCGGAAGCGGGAGCTGGAGCTGGGGCAGGCAAGGTAAGCGACGCGTTCGCTTGTATTAACCGCTGATTACTGCTGTTAGTGTAGTTGTTAGTGCTGTTGTTGTTACTCTGTGTTGGCAGCGTTGTGTTCGTTGCAAAATGTTGTGCTGTTGCTGTTGTTGTTGGTGCTTGGTCAGTGAAGTTTGACACCAACGATTGCGCGGTCGACTGTTGCGCGTATTGCTGAGTCAAGCGCGGAAGCGGTTGTTGTTGCTGTGGCTGTTGCTTTAGGTGTGGTTGTTGTGACTGCTGATTTGTTAGTTGGTTGTTGTCATTAAACTTGAATGCAATATCGGCGTAAATGGGTGAGCTAGTTGCTCTATTCGCTGCGGTGGTTCCGACCGTTGTTGTTGTTGCTGTTGCTGCTGCTCTGCGTGTTGACAAGGGCGATGCAGCTGGAGATGGCACTGTGTTACCTCTCTTTACGGCTTTCGGCGTGCTTGTGTGTATGTTGTTCGGCGTCGTTTTCAAATTGTCGTAGACACTCACCGGCCTGTCGTCATACACTTCCATAATGTCTCGACTGTATGCTCGTATTGGCCCGTTTTGTCAGGTTCTCATTAAGCCCTGTATATTATTTGTCTCTTCTTCTTCTTCTCTCAGCTATCAATTCATATATGTTTGTGTGAGTGTGTGTTTTCAGGTATGAATTTTATATGTAAGCAACTAATTAACTCAGCTCATTACCGCGTACTGAGCTATGAAGCCCAAAGCAATTTGTGTGTGGTGTGTGTGAAAAAGACTGAAATAGGAAATAACTCAAAACTATTAACTTGATTATACTTTTTAGCGCAATATGAATTATAACAAATATTATAATTGGTTTGTGGAAAACATCGAAACATGAGGTTTCCAGCACACCTGCACATTTATACTTTTCGATATATACATATAGTAGTAAATATATATTATATTTACATATACATAGTGACCTAATGGCATGAGCCCAAATTATTTACGCCTCGATTGTATAATTATATCATATAATTTATTGAACCATATAACTGTAACAAAATAAACACGTTAAGGTTTTCCTTCATATTGCAAATAACATCAATGAATTTTTATATATAAATATATGTTTTTAGTAGGGTGATCTTTAGAAGAAGCCTATATTGGTTATAATCAACTAAAAACTTAAGGAAACAGCTAGATTTCTCGAACTCTTAATTATCTGCCACTGTTTTAGGTTAGGTTACTTTAGGTTAGATTGCTGATCTCTCAGCATGGCGGACGATCAATTGTAGACTGTTATGTACAATCCTTTGTGAAGCCAAAAGCAAAGAAAAAAAAAAGCTATCGCAAAACGCCCTGAACCTGTCACCAATCTGCTTGGTTGTTTTATTTTTATTTCCTCTATTTCATCTGGATGTCTAAAAATATGAGGTCCCAGTTTTGCTGAGATCGGACAGTGTCCAGTTAAAACTTCTATAACCATTAAAAGGTGGACTTTGCTGAGAGCGTAGAGTTCACTAGACCTCTTACGATTTACCCTGAATTAGAAAGTTTTTGCGACTGCACAGCTACTGGTAGTTGACCAACGCTTGCTGAGCTGGCCTGAGGCCCAACATTCCGCAGTTATTGAGACTGAAGTAGCTGTCCTAGCAAGCTCATCAGCCTTACAGTTTCCTGCTATATCGCTGTGGCCAGGCACTCGATACAAGGAGTCTAGACATTCGCGTTCGAAGCTGTTTCCAGTGAAATCAGAAAAGGAACTCGAATTGAATTCGCGTAGGGCTCAGGATCGCGTTTGTATTGTATGAGATTGAAATTAATGTAATTGGAGTTGATGTGGGGATCGGGAACGTTGGCGTGTCGAATGAGGTGAATCTGCTACGATGACCATCCTTTTTGTTGGCTGGTGGTGTCGGGTGATATCCTGTGTAGTGTTATCTTGTTGGATGTGGTGATGTCGTTATGTGTGGTGTATATGAAAGAGGCTAAGCTCATTTAAACAATTAGTATGTGTTTCGCAGCTGTTTGTTTAGGATGCGAAATTTTTTCTAACGATTTTTATATTTATTTCATTTTTACCATGGAAAAAAGAGTTTAACAACAAATTTTCTAAAAATTTGGTGTTTCCAATGCAATTACGACTACGTATTCAGTGAAATAGCAGACGTGTTTTGAAAAGTCTACTTTAACACTAACACAAGTATTTGACTGGCAGACAGCGTTCAGTGAAGGTCGTAAAGTCATCGAAAACTTATTCATGCGAGTCGTTCTTACACATTTGTTAATGACGATAAAATTGACAAAGTTAAAGAAACAGTGCTTAAAAGTCATCGTGTTGGCATCTGAGATATAGAAGAGGACCTCAAGATCCCTTACGGATTGGCGCAACACATTTTCGTTAATGTTCTAGGTATGAAGCGTGTCAATGCTAGATTCGTACCAAACAGACCTGAATCTTTCGCAAAAACGACGTCAAGTAGAAGAGAATGCTTGACAACGTAGCAGAGTCCTGATTTATAAATCGTGGGTTTATGAATATGACATGGAAACTGTCCAACAATCTAGCGAACAGCGTTCCAAAACTGAGGAGAAACCGAAAAACCTACGTCACTGTCGGTCAGAAATCAAGATGATGCTCGTCGTTTGATTACCGTGGTGTGCATGAATTCGTTATATAGGGTCAAACAGTCAGTAAGTGATACTACTTAAATGTTTTGATCTTTGAATAGAGTTTTGGGTAATTAAATCAATAATAAGTACGAACATTTTTGTTTCTAGAAGCTCCTTTATACTATACGGTTGATTCAGCTCCACTTATTATTGATCCCGTCCAAAACCCGCAGTGACATAGAAGTTTTAAAACAACTCAGAACAGCCGATGGAATTTATGAAAATACTTTTAATGTCGATATTGACGTAGCTCGGCATTCGTATAGATAGCATACATAACCACTAGGAGCCCTTAACTATGAAAATGAAGCGGCAATGGCTGAGAACGGATGCTATCACCAGGTTTATCGTTTTCTATGGCAATTATGTCGAATAATATAATCGAATTTAGTTAAAAAATGTGATACGAACGAAGAATGAAAATATCGAGAAAAAAATGTATCACATACTTCCTCTGACATATTACAATGTTGCCTTTAATTATATATAATAATTGTATAGTACTAAAATAGTTGTAAATCGTTGATATCTTCACGTAACATGCAAATATCAAATATAGTCTCCTCTGGGAAAAATTTAGCCGCCAGCTCCTTATATATAATATAACGCAAAATGTTGTTCACACCTATTTTCTATCTATCCTCTAAATTGTTCACCATACAATATACTTCTTTAGGACCGATTTGTTTTTTTTAATCTTTACAATGAAATTTAGTATTAATATTTCAAAATTCGCACAAACTTGAATTTATACTTTTATATATATATGGTGGTTTTAGTTTATTTAGCGGAATGTTAATAAAATTTTATGTAAATTTTCCTGACACACATTTCAACATCAACAAATAATTGAAGTTGCCTACATTTGTATGCGAAAAAGTATTTATGATTTCGAATTTCAAAAATTTCAATTAGTTATTTGGAACACACAAAATATTTCCAGCATGTTGCACACAAAAATTACAAGTGAACATACACACAAACAATCTTGTATATATATAAATATGTAAGTACATACAAAAGCATGAATATAGTACATTGCCCTCATGTAGTACGTGCCAGAAATATTCCAAATCGCTTGTCGAAAAACGAACTTGATTTTTATTAAAAAATCAGCTTACACCAATAAAGCAAATAATTTATTTGATTTTTAATTAATTCCGGCGGAAAGCTATTGCGGCAAGAAACAGCATTGTTTTACGTAAACAAATTATATATATTTGTGGGTTGCGCCTTTGTCAATACCGTAACGCCCAAGGAACACTGCACGAGGCCTACAGAATGGCGCGCGTCTCTTTCGTTGCCAACAAATTTGTAAACATTATCTAATTGTTTACCACAGAATCATAGAATCTATGATAGTGCCAAACGAAGGCAAGGAATATATATTTGAATGTGTAAATATGTATAATAATAATACATATATACTTACAAGGTATATATAGACTTCTATCGATGTAAGCGAATGGCCATTCACTTGTAGATATGAAAATACCCTGTAGGGATTGAGAGGTGTAACAGAAATATTTGATGCTGGCAAATAGGAATACTTGTATTGATATCCAAACAAAAAATTGCAAGCTCATAGAACTCCTAAATATTCAGTAACAAATATCTTTCATTTAACTTTATAAGTCGAAAAAGGGCTTTAACAGCTATGCTTAAATTCAAAAATCAAAATTTGTATTTTGTTGCGCCAACAATTTCAAAGGAGCGTAATACTACATTTCTTTGACGTTTTCTAATTCTCTCAATGCGAATTTTCAAGGTCACAAGATCTTCAATGAAAGAGAAGTTAAGACTGAAAGAAAAGACTGATTTACATAAAACTTTACTTGCTTTATTTGATAGTTCATACTATAAAAAGAAGCGTAGAAAGCTTCGGGTGGAATAGACTAAACGCTTTGCTTTTCGTGCTGCTCTTTAATAAAAATGGCGACTGCTGTTTGTCAAAGCATAGAAAGATGAGAGTTGTCCAACATTTTGCTTTGCTTCACCTCGATGTGAACGAACTCATACAAAAGCATATATACATTTTTTCCATAAAAGCAAAAGTCTGGAGAAAAGCGGAGCAAAAGTTATATATGAATTACTCTCTCGATTTCTGCAGTCAGAAGTGGAAGTAGCTTTTGAAATTATTTTAGCATTATACTTGTATGTCAGAGTTGCTTTTGGAATTACTAATTAACATTAGCGAAAAATAACTATAGTATTATTAAAAAGTCGAGTCTCTTGTTGAAATCTCGCTTTGCACTTCGCATAAATCATTGGGTCTCTAACATATCGTAGATTTGAAAGATTTTAAAATACCAAAAGCATCGAATAGGTTTCAGCTAATACCTGTGTGGCCTTACAAGATATTATTATAGAAGATGTTTGTAGAGACACCCATAAATGTATTAACAAACCAGATGAAGAGAGGCTATCGAAATTTTTGTTTGTTTCTGATTCAAACTATTCCGAAACTCAAGAGGAATTTGTTACGTAAAATTATTTGTCATCACCTACAATTCAAGAAAACAAGAGTTAATAAATAAAAATTTTCGACGTTAAAGTGCAATATATAAAAAGAGAGAAAGAGTTACGGTATATTTTTTTAACTTAAAGACGTTCGCTTTATTTTAAAAGCTCGCTTACTATCGGTTATATTATTGCTTATAATTTATTACATTTTTTTTGCGTTTCGTTTTCTTACAGGCCACTTGGCGAACGCACCGAAAAGTGGCAAACAAATTTTGTTTGTTGTGCTAAAATTAAGTGGCATAAAATGCATGTTGCCATTTGTAAAATCAGAAAAAGGCACGATAATGCTAAATGCTGAAAATTAGAAGAAATTGTAAATAAAATGTTTTCTTTAGCGCTGTAAAAAAGAAATGTGCATTCAATCGGCTAGCGGCTGATCACCGTGTGAATGCTTGCGCATGACCTTAAAGCTTTTTTTATATATTTCAATATTTGATTTGAGCGCGTGAATCACACTTAATTTTTATTTTTAACGCACTCTGATATGGAAAATTTCCTTAAAGTGCTGTAAATGGTCACACGACATGAATTACTTTTATTTAGTTTTTAATAACTTTTTTTTTGAACAGTTTTCATTGTTTTATACAAACAGGTAATAACCGATAAGGCTTAATGATCGATTGTGATTGATTTTTGAATTTTTTTCACTAGATTTAGACACGTGGGAATAGACAAAGGCGTAGCCAAGTGTGCTCAGATATGGTTGTTGTGTACTCAGGATAAGTTGTAATTCTTTTCATGCAACTTATGTAGGTATATTAAAAATATAAATTTTTTATATAGTTAGCAACGAAATACAATAGTTAAACAAGCCTATTAATAAATTCTTCCCTTATGGTATTGGTATTGAGAATGTTCTTTTTTAGAACTTTGAATGTGATTATTAAAAACTATTTAGCAATGAGGTTACGTATTTATTGCATGAAGTTTTTGAGGTAAAAATATTTAAGTTTGTGAAAAGATAAAATTTTTTTTTAATTCTTTCAGTGCACTGAAAAATTTAAATACTTATTATATATCTATAAAATCAAAAACAAAATTTCGTACAAAATCGCTACACCCTAATGTCGGCTCATATGGTGAAAATTGCTGAGAAAATTTATGTTGTTTATACCTGCCATGAATGCCACTGTTTTTGAACTTGGGCCTTGAATTTATGCCTGTCTCGTTTACGCCAATGTGCTTGGTTAAAGTTATGTTGTCTGCGAACAATTCTTTTCAGTGTTTTACAAAAATATTTTAATTACAACCATTTGTTTGTTTGAACAGATGCCCGGAGATTAGTGTTTTTTTAAATGTATACAAAAATAATATTAATAATATCTTAAATATTATGAGCTGCATGCTCCTACTCAATATTTTTTTTTTTTTTGGACTGTCTACTGAGTTGAAAAAATGCCCTTATAAGTTTTGAAAAATTTTGATGGGATGGGACAGAATTATATTTTTTCAGAAGAAGGAGAGAAAATTGCTCTGCAATATATAATTACAGTTAGATGTGACTAATTAAGACCACATTCGAGTATAACAGAAGATACTTAAGCCCTCTTATCAAGGTGGATTTGTCGAACGCAAAAGAGTGGAACGAAAATAATTGCACTGGAAGCTCAAAAGACTGCCAGAGGGTTACAGTTCCCGAAAAATGTTTGAAGGTATAATGACAAATAGAAAGTTTAGGCATCAGGATCAACTCATGTGAGTATAAAAAAGAGATCACCTGGCTGTGGACAACGACTGAACTATGGAGTCAGCATCATAACCGCCAGTCATTAGTAAATATCGCTTTTCAGAACATGTCCATAGGATGCATAAATAGTCGCTGACGCTGAAAATGTTTAATGCGGTACTAGCACGTGATGAAGGAGAACGGAGAAGGAGAACGGAGATTATATCTTTTTAAAAAGGTGAAGTGAGTAATTGAGAATTTTTTTTGAAAAGCTCATTCAAAATCTAATTCATAATTATAGACCTAAGACTTTAGCAAACTTTAACTTGATTTTACTTATCAAATGATTGTTCTCGCAGTCGCTGTTGTCAGAAACAAATAGTTTTCTGCCATGACCAAGATTATGAGAATTAATCTTTATCGGTCACCTAGAAATCGGGTTCATATGGGTCAAGTATTATCAGTAATCAATGTTTTAGGCCACAGAAACTATTCAAGAGTAATCTTGAATCAAACTCCCATTGCTATTTTTGGGTGTGGTTATCAATGTGCATGAAGTTATAAAAAATTATTTTGCTTCTTTTTTTTTAAATTTTTCCCAAAATGTTCTTAAATATTCTTACCTAAATCCGAATTCTTTTAAGTTTTCATATACCCTTTCCAACCAACTATTGCCACGAAACTCATCATATATGTGGCATACTAGCTTGGCTTGTTGATATTTCAGGAAATGTTGACATTCCTTTGAAACGGCATCTTGTAGCTACCAAAAAAGTGTGTCCATTCATTCGCGACTGCTACGCTCTCCAAATATTCAAGAGCAATTTTTTTAAAAGTCTATCATAAATAACAAAATAATTGTGGGTGGTCAAATTAATGTCCGCAATTTAAATCTTCAACGCAATTGAATGACCTCGGCAACCGGTGTGCACACACCAATACATGCAGACATATGTACATGCAATTATGAAGCTTAATTTGGCCACGGAAAAGCACAAGCAAAATTATACGCCCAAACACGGCTTTGAATGACAAAACACTTCAAGCCAAAGAGAAAAAAATTAATAAAATGTGAATACGCAGATCACAAAAGTCAATGGGAAAATCACAACAAACACTGACCACTTGCAAGTGCTAACGGGCCACGCGCTTCCCACTTCTTCAAACGCGTTTGGCGCTTAAGACAGTATGTACACTTGGCTGCGTGTGGGCACACTTCCTATAATTTCATGAGAGTTTCACATAAACGCTTGTAAGTATTTGTATAAAAGCTGTAAATATGTATGTACGAGTATGTATATATATGCTATCACATCAGTGCAGTCAAATGCCGGATTTGTGCGGCCTATTGCGGTAAAACCATGGGCTTAGCTTAGCTTGTGCACGGCGGAAGTTAATCATGAAATAAATTTACAACTTTTGGCATGAGCTGCACACACACGACATTATAAACCTATATAAAGACTGTCATAATTTATAGTTAATGCATTCATTTCACAATGTGTTTTTATAAGCTTTGATTTACCGTTTTAATTTTTACAGGTAGAAAGCAACAGATGAGCGTGGTTTCACAGGCGGCAATGATTTTTTATTCCACCTACTTGAAAAATTTTGACTCGGTAACTGTTTACTGATCTTTCTGTAAGTTCTGTTAGCAAATTAAATTTTTCTGACACTACTAAGAGGGAAAAGGGAAAGAGAGATAGAGAGCGCACTGGGTCATAAAACGATGGATTGTCCATATTTTTTTAAATTTGTTTTACATTCTGATGATATGCCTATAATACTAGAGGTAAGATGTTAGACAAAAACTGGAGGGGTGAGGCGAGTGCAGTCCACATAGCAATCTATGACTCAGTGCAGTAATTTTCCCTAAATATATTGTGCAACTATATGCAAAAACGATTAGCTACAGTTTACCAGCAAGAATTTGTTATACCCTGATTTATATTGTTCCAAAGCAACCTCATTCTGAAACTTAATAATTATAGGTTAGAGAGCCAGATTTTCATATAAAACATTTCATAATACTGGTTCTAGCTATTTACTATTAAAATAATTTTTCTCTTTGCAAAATTAATTTGTTTTATGAACAAATATTATTGAAACGTGTACATATGTATATCAATTTTCTAATTATAAATACTCTTTCCGAAAATTATGCGGCAACCCTACACAAAGCCCCTTCATATACATATGTATTACATTTTCTGCTCTAAAACTGAAAAACTTTCATATTTTGATATGATTTACCTAAAATGCTTTTTGCTGATATGCTTTAAAATGTATGGCAACCCTGTTTACTTTTAAAAAAACTTTTACTTTTACATAATTTGTTCCAAAAACTATACGGACACAAAATTTCAAAATATGTTCACAATATTTTGTTTAAAAATTTTGTTTAATACAAATTTAAAAGATATGGCAACCTTGTTTAATTTTTGAAATTGAAAAATAAGTTTTAAATTCCGCAAGAGAAAATAAAATGTTTTAATATTCTCGTCTATTTTTCAATATTTTTAATAATGGAAACATACACATATGGCAACCCTGTTTAATTTTTGATCTATATTATTATATATATATATTGTATTCGGCTCAAAAAAGTAGGAAATTTTAATATTAGCACCTAATTTTAATAGAAATAATTTTCATAGTAAATGTGTTATATTTTAGAATAACATTTTTTCATTTAATAATACAATTTTTATTAGTACTATGAAAAAATTTAGTTACAACGATACTGTAAACTTTTCTTTCAAACATAGCAACGAGATCTAAAAACGAATTCAAAAAAAATAAAATTATTTACTAATAGCGCAATTTGTTAAAAAAAAAATGAAAGTTTTAATTATTTCGAACAATTTCGAATATTTCGAAGAAAACAATTTTCAAACCCTGGCGCTAAATAGAAAAGCACAAACCGATTTCAGTGTTGTATTTTTTATTGTTGTTGTTATGTTTTCTTTTATTTCTTTTTTTTGCAGCATTGCCATATTCGTCCAACGCGTAATGTGCTTGTACAAAAACGCCTACACGAAAATTCAATATTATGTTCAATTCAAACATTTATGATGGACCAGCGAGACCACAAGCGGACAGCCAATGTGCAGTCAACCTCGAATTGGCTTTGGCCGAAACGGGCAGCAAACAAATTTATTGTAGTAGTTGCACGCAAAAAATTAAGTAGTAAAATATGTATGTGAAATGTTAGTGATTGTGACAGCAGTTGGCCGCTTTATTTGGATTTTCAACGCCACTTCCCACAACAAAGCGGCAGTTCGATAGAGTGCACAGTGGCACGAGAAGTAAATGCACATATAAGTACATACAATATATTTCTGAAATATATATTTTTAACTGAATATTTTAATTCAAAATTTTTTTTTGGAAAATTTTTTTTGGAAAATTTTTTTTTTATGTGATGATCATAATTTTAACATAATTTTCAAATTTTGACCACTTCAGTTCTCTAGAGCACACATTCTGATCATCACTTTCTAGTAAGCATATTATTTTACTTTTTTGAGTTCTTGACTAACCAAAGCTTGCCTCCAGAAGTATTTCGAAATGATTTTCAGAAAAGTCCCATTGTAATGCCGCTGGCTGGGAATGCGATACTTTTGTTTTGTTTATTAATACACCTATCAGTTTTATGTACAAATAAGACTTGAAAGAGAAGTTTGTTTATACATATATACCATAATAGTAAAATTGTTGGAGTTGTAGTCGCAGCGCTGGCAATCTTGGCATTAATGGGTTTACAAAGAGACGACAACATGCGCACATATGGCTTAAATTCATAAAAGTATGTGCCACCCACCCAACGTCCGTGGTGCAACTAAATAACCGGCTTGTGTGTTATTAAAGGCGCCAATGCGAATGACTACGGATTTCTCAAGCTGGGCTGGATTAGATTTTCGTAAATTTGTATGAGGAAACACAAATGGATATACATATGTATGCATGTGGGTAAAAAATTTACAGAAGAAACCGACTTTTCTGACCGCTTAAAGTATATTAATGCAGATTCTCAATTTTAGCGTTTAAGTGATCGAATAGATAGGTTAGTGCCAGATTTCAAGTTGGATATGTTAATCTAGATGAAAAAGAATCTACCATAAAATAAAATAGATTTGTTGTACTTCGTGCGAATTCATATATTACCAACCTAGTTAGCTATATATTCGTGCTTATGTCTTTAGGAACAGAAAGCAGTCAAAGAACTCATAATATACAAAAAATGTGGTCAGGAAATTCAATTCTAATAGATTATAGGACAGAACTTGCCTATAGACCTTCAAAAAATCACTAACGGTAACTTCATTTTAAACAAGAAACTTGATCTGACTAGTAATATAATACATTTGAGACGATTAAGAGTTTGAATAATGTAAGAACCCTGGTTATTCATGTAGAGAACTTAGTTGAAAGATACCACAGACTTTATGAAGATGAACCTCGACTTTAAACTGATAAAATTAACTAGTAGTCCAATTAGTATTTAATTGACAATTATGATATTTTAAAGACAACGCTTTGAAGCAAAATGGAAAAAACTAACAAAAAACGTTAACTTCAGTTGCACTGATTCTATAACACCCTACACAAGTGCAAAAGTTTACCATACAAGAACCTGATTTTGATTGGTCAGTTTGTATAGTGGCTGACTGATTCGATCTAAAGAATTTCTTCGCAGATTGCAACCTTACTTTAGTTCACGCATATACAGACACACGGGCAGATAGACGAACAAGCCTAATTCGTATACAAATTAATAATTTCTTCATTACAAAAGCTTTCTACATCCGTTCACCTTATATTTAAAATCTGAAACGTAATCGAAGCAAAACTCCATTTAGTAAATTTCAATTGGTTTTTCTACCATTAATTCAACGAAATAATCAATATGGCAACAATGACCGCGCTCTCGCACCTATTGATCGCTTAGCTGATCTTATCAGATCAACAACGCTCACCTAATAAACACGCGTACAGCTTACATTATTGGAAAGCGCAGGAGCGCGCTAAATTCCAAATATTTCCCATGCGCAGCTGTCAATGTCTCTAGCTTTTCAAGTCTATTTTGATAGCTCGAAAGCGCGCTCGAGCGCTCAATAAGAAGAGAGCGCCAACTACCACTATTTGCAGCAATGTCGTTCACTCTTCGTCGTTTTCTTCGCATTTTCTGATAAATAGATTTTGAGAATTCAGCGCTAACTTTGTTATTGTCGGCATTCTAAGCGTCTTACCTGTTTCAGCGAAGGTGTGTATGCTTCACTTTGACATATGTACATATGTTTGCCGCCGGTAATTTACATAAATTCTTGGTTTGACTTGATGGCTTCGTGCTGTTATGCCAAAATGCTTTTCGACTATTTTAAGCTGTGAGTTTGTAGATATTGGCAAATAAAGGCTTAGAAATGTATGCACTCCAGTCACTGGGGTATGTATGTTGTGTATGGTTTATAGATATATAATATATGTAAATCAAGTATGACCCAAAAACGGAAGAGTAGCTTTTACCGGTAACTGTGTAAGACGATACCTTTTCGCATTGCAAATTATTGTTGTTTTTTTTTTTGCGTATGTTTTTTCTTGTTTTGTAAAACGTGCTAAATGATGACTGACACTATTCAGTCACACTAATGACTCATGGCAAAACCAAGTATTAGCCGAAGTTTACCACATGCAAAGCGTTCCAGTTGTTTAGTGACCTTGTGTTTGCGGCTACCTGTGGCGTCAGACCCCCATAATGGTTTTTGACTTTTTAACCCACTATTGGTTAAATAAAAATCGCAACGGGATATCAAATTGTATAAGAAAAGAACAACAATTTTAATAATTTCATTATTTTAATGATGGCTTGTTCAGATGTACGTATATATGGGAAAAATTATGATCATAAGATCGTGAAGTTTGAGATCATTGATCAAAATCGTGCCTTAGTTTGCTAATGAAGTGATCTATTGATGGATATCGTCTAATTGTATGCTAAATTGTATAGTTATAATTTTTTATGTGGTAATTTCGTAATATGTATATCATTTAAAGATTGCGAAACATTTGGACAAGTTTTTGTTTTAAATTATATTTTCAAAATAATTTTGAAATATGTTGATTAATTTTTGTTCTACATTTTATTCATTAAATTTTTTAGATAATTGTCTTATTTTTTGTTCTAAATCATACAGACCAAGTTTTTAAATAACTTTGAAATTTATCGATTAATTTTTTTCTAACTAATATAGACCACATTTTGTCCACAATTTTGATTTATATCGATTAATTTTTGTTTTACATTATATAGCCCATATTTTTAAAATAATTGTGAAAGTAACTTTGAAATATATCGATTAATTTTGTTCTAAACTATACTGACAATTTTTTTAAATAACTTTGAAATTTATCGATTAATTTTGTATATAATTTTAAAATATATTGACTAATTTTGTTCCAATTATATAAACCAAATGTATTAGATATTTTCGAAATGTATCGATTAATTTTTTTTCCTAATAATACAGACCACAATTTTAAATACCTTTGAAATTTATGGATAAGTTTTTTTTTAAATTATATAGATCATATTTTGTCGATATTTTGAAATATATCGATTAATTTTTGTTTTAAGTTGTATAGACCAAAATTTTAAATACTTTTGAAGTTTATCGATTAATTTTTTTTTAAATACTATAGAATATGTTTTGTCGAAAATTTTGATGCATCGATTAATTTTTTTTTAGTTATATAGACCAAAACTATAAATATCTTTGAATTTGAGAAATTTTTTTATAAATTATATAGACCAAATTTTTAAAAAAAATTTTGAATTAAGTTTAAGTTTTTTAGACCAAAATTTTAAATACCTTTGAAATTTATCGATTAATTTTTTTCTAAATTATATAGACCAAATTTTAAAAAAAAAGTTTGAATATATCGATAAATTTTTTTCTAAGTTATATAGACTACGTATTGTCTATAATTTTGAAATATATCGATTAATTTTAACTTATATAAACAAAATGTTTTAGATAGATTAAAAAATTATTTACAAAGATATCGATACATTTTTCATTCAACATACATAGCAAATTTCTTAAATTTAAAAAAAATGCCTGCATTAGCTGTATATTTAAACTAACTTCACCCGTTAACCTTTCGAGAATTACTCTAACTCTTTCTCCTCACCTCCCTACAGGCTCATTTCATCTGACGTTTACGATTTATAGAGCTTGAAAGTCAATTTACACTAACAGAAGCATTTATTTTACTGATGCAGCTTAAAACCTCAACGCTGATTAATGGAAAGTTTAAAGCGATTCCCGGTAGTTGGCAGATAATTACTAATTTCCTACATTTTAACAGTTTTTACACAATTCGGAATTTCACTTAGTCGCTTATATGAATGTACGTTTGCATAGCCGACAGCAGCATTTTAGAAAGAGGAATACCGTTACATGATTATAGTAGCTAACTAAGCATGCATCACACCATGACGTGAAAATATTTCGGCTGGCACGCTAAGAGCGATTTTCTACAAATTCTATATACACACACATATGGTACAAGCACAAATACATATTCACTCACACATAGAAATGTCAGTTTAGATGCTTAATTTATTGTTCGAAATTGCATTTGGTGAAAACTTTTCAACTTCACGCATCAAATGCATTAACTGGCGCACGTCCGTCCGTCTGTCCGCCTGACTTGCGGCGCATCCATATGGCTGACGCTTGTGCAGCGACGCAACAGATCATTAAAGCTTGTAGTTATGTTTTGTATACGTATGTATATATATATATATGTGTGTGTGTGTATGAAACATATGTTCACAAAAAGAATATACACAAAAATCAAAAATACAACAGAGCGCAATATAACAACAACAAAGAGCTGGAAACAAAATCACCATAAGAAAACCACATAAAATATTGTTTTGTATACATAAAAAGAGAATTTAATTCCCGGCAATTGACCTCTTTTTCGCTTTTCCATTGTTGTTTGAATTGTTGGCTTAATGGCATATTTTAAACGCATGACCTGCCAAGTTTATGCCAAGCACATAATCATAGCGGCGAGAGAGTTGGAAATGCATCAAACAAAGTCAAGTAATAAAACAATATATATATACTTGGATATACATTAGGCTTGGACAAAAATCGAATAGTTTTTTTTGTTTGGTACTCTAAAAAATAGGTTCTTAGACACCGCTATGAAAATCTAGATGGATATATCGTAAACGCTGAACTTAATCGAAGAATCATACAACACTGTTTTGTAGAGCATTAAATTTTCTACAAAATCTATGAAACGAGCTATTTTTTCAGGTAGTTGAAAGCGAAATTAGAAATTTGTTATATCATAATAAGAAAAAAAATTTAAAACTGCAAGACGGAGGACCCTTCCCGTTACAATTAAGAGCTCATACTTGGATAGACTTTTTTAGAGATGTCTAAAAACCTTTTTACAGGATTCCAAGCGAAAAAAAAATTGCGTATTTTTGACCCACCCTAATATAGACACATATATACTTATGTATGCATGTACGTAAATATGTGCAGTAGAAAAAGTAGTGAAAGAAAATATGCACTCATAAGTATGTATACCATACAGCATAGTTTTTTTGTTGGTCAACGTCCAACTATAGATATTACCGACAGCAAAAATCAAGTAATAAAAAAACGAAAAAATAAAATAAACATATATACAAACTTTTCGCATAGAAATGCAAATTTTGTTCGTTAATCACTCGCCAATAAATGTTTTAGGTTTTTATTGTTGTTTTAAAAACCTTAGCGCAGCTGTTCATTGACTTTTAGAGGCGCATAGGGCTTTGAGTACAAAACTTTATATGCAGGCTTATGCAGTTATATATAAAGTATACAACGGTAATTGCATATAAAGTATATAACGGTATTTCCTACGTATAAAGCATGCATTGGATAATAATTTTACAGGTTTACGAATATTTAATTCAAATTATTTAAAAACTGTTTTAAAAATCCACAATTTTTCGCATGTTATTCAAAAGCTTTGAAAAATGTTTTCTGATTTATTTTTTTAAGTAAAATAATATTTAAACAATTATAAAAGGCTTAAATGTTATAGAATATAAAATAAAAATTGTAAAATAAAAGTTAAAAAATAAAACCAATTTGATTGAAACAGTTAACGAGTTCACGAAATACTTGTCATCCGGACATCTTCTTTTCTTTTAGTCGCTAACTCGGAAATGACATCACAGTTATAGAACAGAGTGTTGCATATTAGACTTCAATGGGATCATTCTAACTATACTAAATAAAACTTTTGAGTTAATGCAAAAATAACGGATATTTTTTTATAGACGTTATATAATAGATTTCAGACTCATTGACTTTATTTTTATCTGAGATGTAAACAGGCATTAATTCCTTCATAAACATATTTTTAATTTTTAAATTTCTTTTAATTTTTTAAAAACTACTTCTGGAGCAAAAATGTGTGCAGGGTAATAATAAAACGGTCAATCTAGATATTCAAAGATCTCAGACACGGTAGGTCTTAGAAAAAAGTATTTATACATATTCTATAGATTATGTTATGATCTTTAATTTTTTTTTATTTTTTGATCTTTGACGTCGAGTAAATTTTTTCTACATACCGGAACTATGAGGCGTTTTTAAATTTTTTTTAACCATGTTTTGGTCATGTTCACTCCTACCTTCACACTTATTTTCTGGTTTGATTTTAACGGACTAAAGGAATTTCTAATATGTTGAACAACAGATGTAGTGGCGCAGTAATAAACCCAAGGGAGGAAGTCTTTCTATTCGTGAAATGGATATGCTTTTGTTAAAGTTAAACTCCGTTCAAACACAGCAATTTTTGTTAGGACTATTGCAAGTTTATGAAAGAGTGAGCACAGCGAAAAAGGGAGAGGCAGCTCGTGGGTTAAACATTTTGGGTTCTTCTTCTTCGCAGTTCGCTGCTGTAATATTGGTATACCTTTTCATTTTGATTAGTGGTGATTTTCAAATGAATACGAACCATATTATTATCTAAAGCAAAAGAATTCGAAGCATACAAGAATTTGGGCTAATAATATGAAAAGATTGCTCTGCCTGAACGTAATTGCCTACACGAAAAGAACGTTGTGGATGATGAACAACAAATGTTTCTATCTTTGGCCACGATCTTAACAATTATTTTATGACTTTGCCTTGATGCAATGCATGTAAACTGTCTCACGACAGGTTACTCCCTCATGTGAAGTAAAAACCAGCAGAGAACTATTCGAAATAATTTGTCGCGCGCAAAGCCACTTCTTATAAATGATCAGCACTTATGTAGGTGTACAAAGCGCGCAAGAAATCTACAGATCTAAAATAATAAAAGAAAGAAGAAAATATTGTGTTGGTCTTGGAATATATTATCTAATAAAAAATCCAATAAAAAATCTTCAGAAAATACGTATGTATAAAAGCAAAGTTTTCAAGTCGCTGAAAAAGGTAGTCGGAGGAACTTTAAATTCATGATTATAGTTGAAGCGGTGGAGAAAGCTTTGTCGAACATCTGAAGGAATCAAAAAAGTTTTTGAAAAAAAAAATTAAGATCCCCGCAAAGTCTCCACTTTAGGTTATAGTTGATATAAATTGGTGAAATAAAAGCTCAAATGTCATTAACCAAACAGCTGATCGTGAACTGTCACTGCTTGCAGCGTTCTCAGCTGATAAATTTAAAAAAAAAATGGTAAGAAAGCTGATGAATAATTAATTCGTATGTATTAGCACATTAACAATTCAAATAATAATTAACAAAACAAAAATTTGAATTACGCAACGACTACAATGAGAACTAGTTGAGCAATAAATTTTACCAAATCAACTAATGAAAACACTTTGATGTGTTCGCAAGTGAAATTGATTACAATTCCATTTCGATTTAACATAATACGAATTAGGCTATGAGAAATATGCGATTGCGAGAATTGTTTATATTGTTTGCCATAATAATAATTCTGCATGTGTACACGCTATGAGGTATTTCGAGGCCCACACTGCGCCGCAGGTGATTGT